TGCGATTCTTGGAAGCCGAGATATTGGTTTCTGAAAATCGACAAAATTTGCAGTTTTTAAAGTGTTCCCCTAATTTTTTTGCGTAGTGTATATATATATATATATATATATATATTATTACTATTTTTTTTACTAAAGATATTCATATCATAATGTTAAATATTCTTCCATTACTAAACTAAATCCCAAATCAAGATAAACTAAACACATATACTCCTAGTTTCTATGTACGCATTTTCGTATTATAAGAGCCATGATACACGGGCAACTAAGGTCGTGTTCCAGTATAGGTATACTAATAATACTGAATATCTATAGTATGCTATATACGTAACGTGAATTATAGATTTACAGTACTGGCGTATGTATATTGGAATACAGCCTAATAAGTCGTGCCATTAACAATAAGATAGAACATAACAATCACCGTGTACCATGACTTTTAAAGCTAATATTACATTTGTTGTATAACAAATTTTTCAAGCTTCTTAATTAGCTGTAGGATAGAAAAGTTCTGGATACTCAAGAATTTCTCTATTCTGCAGTCAATTTAACACTCTTGAAAAATCTATAGTACGACAAATGTAATAGTACCTAATACATGTTAAATGCGTGTATTTGAAAAAAAAAATTTGATTAAGCTAGATAATCCATGTTATAGAGATATGTATTTAAAACGCTCTAATGCGCAGCAACGCATATATATACAAACTGGTAAATATCAACAAACGAGATAAGGATATTTTTTATAAAAATTCGAATCCAAAAAAACAATTTGAATCGGTATCTTTAGAGGAGAAAATTATTATTTTAACATAGCATACTGCATATATATATATATATCGATCGTACAGATCTATACTACCTTTGTCAAATACACCCCTGACGTCGCTGTACGAGGCACCCTACCATGCCGACATTGTCTTTCTCCCTACATTACATTTGCTCTTGCTGTTCTCGCGTCCACTCTATTCCACGAGAATTCCCCTTTCGCCTCGTTCCCCTGTTTCATCGAAATCTTCCTCTCACGTCCCCCCTATAGCTCGTTTCCGCCTCACTCCGCTACGTTTAACTCTCTCGCACACGCCTTCTCTCCCCTACCATCTTGTAGAGAATTCTTCCCTTCCGTTTCGCTGTCCTCATCACCAACCGCCTTTCACCCCCGCACGACCTCTCGTCTTTACACTCGTTGGGTCGCCTAGTCAGCCATCCAGCCAACCAGCCAGCCAACAGTCGAAATCAGCTGACGGCAAGCAGTTGCTACCACGGCTCCTCAAACGTGATATTGTTCAGGCGAGTGAATTTGTTTGCTTTTTCGCTGATTCTTTGTTCCTTTCTGTTTCTTCTTACGATCATTATAATGTTAAGTGTTTTGTCCATATTAACAACAGTATTTTGAAGCTTAATATACTTGACATAACTGACGAAAGTGTCAACGAAACAACATTTCTTCCATAATTATTGCTTTAATCTATATTGCCATTATTGCACGCGCGTTTGTCACGGTTACGATGATTATTGACGCATCGAGTGACGCATGAGAGACTTTGGAGAAAAAACTATCAGTTATACGAACTATATCAGCGAATTCTGATAAAAGTGGTTATTTTTATATTTGTGTAGTAACTCGTTTGTCAAAGCTATATCACAGCATAAGGTAAGCAAGAAAGTGAGGAAAACAAGATTTTTACATGCGAGAGTAAATAAAGCAACAGTAAGACGGCCTGTCGATGAATTTGTTTAGTTTATCATTACGTTTGTTCATTATTGTATAGCGAATTTTCACGATGATGTGTATGTGTGTGTATTTATTAATTCGAAAACACAAACAATAGATCTGAAATAAAAAAAGGCAAATACAAAAATACTGCCAAAATTTTGTAAAATTACTATTATACATGTATAGTTTTATACAAATTCTAATTTTATAAAAATATCTATATAAAAAACGATAAAGTTCGGAAATTAGAAAAAATAATTATTTTATAACATCTAATTGTTGGAGAAACGATGGAAATTTAAAAAATCAATCGGAATGATATAAAAAAGATTATTTTAAAGTATGATTTTAGTAAATTTTTTTCATTGTTTATTGTGTATTATAACATTACAAAAGTTATACATGGAGAAAAGTCGAAAAAGATAAAAAGCAAAATTTTTAAATCAAGATAATCTTGATTTGAAAATACCAAGGTAAGTTTGCATAAGTCAAATTCTTTATGTATATTATTACTTTTATCTGTCGTATTTTTGCAGAAAAATTTTTCTTAATATTAAAAAATCTTGAAATATAAGCGATTTAAAAAAGGATTAATATGATAAAAACAACAATAAAGATGATTAAAACGAGAAAGAGAGTCTCAAATTCATCGATTACTCATTTTATTTCATGTTGTTATGATAAACTTTATTCATCGAGCGCTCGAATTTTGCTTTAATCGAATGTTCACTGCACATACAGGATGATGTATATATTTATCAATCTCAAAAAACGAGATCATACATTTTAATCGTACATTTTAATCTTTTGCAATGCTAGCGTTGCTAGACAGTTAATAACTCCGAACCAGAATGATGTAAGTCATTCAGCCAATTGTGGAATAAGCCAGGATGATGTCATGGCAAAGATAAATTATGCAATCTGTAATTCTGTTATTTTTGATAGCCATATAAACATGGTTGTTATAAAAGTCAGTAATATGATTACGATCGTTAAAGAAAAGCGATTTGTATTTACCATTGGGTATGGACACACACACACACACACACACACGCACACGCACACGCCACGCACACGCACGCGCACACGCGCACACACACACACACACACACACACACAGAGCTTACATACACTTATACCTTTAAATTTATTTTAATCTATTTCATTTAACATATTTTTATCTTTTTGCATTACTTTATCTGTACATTTTCTTGTCTGTATGCTTTTTTAGTTCTTTTCTAAATATATGCATATTAATACACTAGAAGATCATGAATGTTTGTATTTCTTTCTTAACTTTGTAACTGATATTCCTACTGTATACGTGTTTACTGTACGTATTTTTACTAAAAAACTAATTAAAATAACAATAATATTGTTATTAATATTATTATAAATTATTACAAATTATTTAAATTTTACATACTTCATGGTAATAATTATATACTTATATATAATAAGTATATCATTCTATGAAATATCCTCAAATCAATAATATTTTCCGAATTATAAACAAAAAGAAGAGCTCTTTTTACAAATATGTAATATAAAAATAAAAATCACGTATGTAAATTTATTAAAAATTATGAAATAAATTTCTGCATATAAGATAACATATTAGTAAATATAATCATATTTATATTGTTTAACTGCTTATATTGCTAAATTAAAATTTTTTTTTATATTTTTCTTAAAAATTATATAATCTTAATGCACTATCGTAGGAAAATAAGCGAGAAAATGACGATATTGATCTTGAATTAACTTTTTTTTTTTTACTAATAGAGTCTTTTCTTAGCAATTCGTGATCTACAAAAAGCTAATTTTACGTTATCTATTCAAATAAAGAATACACTAAGATACACTATAATTGTATAATTAAAAAAATGTAATATTATTTCTGTAAATATTGTAATAAGTTGCATGTGCAATTCAAGCAATGCAAGCTTTAATAAATTAATTCTGAAGAAGTGGAGGCCTATATTATTTAAATAGAAAGAAACTAGAATTAGGGATTAGACAGACTTATATATTTGTCAATTCGGATATAGTTATGCAATTGGTGTGATCATTGCCAGGAAAACTACTACTCTGAGAGAGAACACTCTGCTCTTTTAGCCAGAGAGAAATATATTCGCGATCAAATCGTCGTGATCGCCTTACTCACTCGCTCACAAAAACGCATTGAGATTGTACAATAATATGCAAGTGTATATGCATATCATATATTCACAAGAGAAAGAAAAAGGGAAAAACAGAAACAAATATATAGCTAACAAAGAAACCTCGCGAAGTGTTAAATTCTGATCTTAACGAAACTTTTTACACATGTAGGTTACTTAAATAGATGAATTTAGAAATTAGCAGTAGCCCAAAAACGGTTTAAAAGGATGAAACCACCCCTTATATGTTAATTAATTTATTTTTTCCTAATATTTTGAAAACTATTCAAGATATCAAAAAATGTTTTATACAAAAGTTTTACAGTAAAATCATCTCTTTTCACTCACGGCAATCATTAAAAAAAATTTATTTACATAAATTTAAAAAAAAAATTTTTTTAATTATTTTTCAAAAATGTTATTGACGTAAATGAATACATATTTTGTCGTGAAACTTTTGTATAAAACTTTTGTATAAAAAATTTTTTATATCTCGAATAGTTTTCGAAATATGAAAAAAAGTTAAAAATTATTTTTTTATCAAATCATTAATTTTTAAAATAAAGAATCATTATCTTATCAAATCATTAACTTTTAATATAAAGAAAGTGATTTCAAAACCATTTTTCCGTCGCAACTGATATTTTCTAAAATTTATCTCTTTACGTTATCTATATGTATGTAAAGTTTTATTAAAATCAGAACTTGTTATAAAACTAATTATGCATTCACACATTTCGGCCGAATATTGTTTTATTTTTTTCCATGGTTATCACTTCCACATCACCTTGCAGTAGACATCTTGGTACATTTTTTCATAGGGTTTTCTCAATATGCCTAATCCACTCTTATTTTTTAATATATAAATTATTCGAAATGTCTTCTTTCCTTTTTAATAGTTTTTGAGATACAATAATTTAAAATAACGTTTTTACCTTGAATAATTTGTGAGATACAATACTTAAAATATTGTTAATAATGTAGTTCTTTGAAATATTATTTTAAACATTATAGTTTAAAAGTCTAAATTTAAAATAACAATATTTTAAGTATTGTATCTCACAAATTATTCAAGGTAAAAACGTTATTTTAAATTATTGTATCTCAAAAACTATTGAAAAGGAAAGAAGACATTTCGAATAATTTATGTATTAAAATATAAGAGTGAATTAGACCTATTGGGGAAACCACTATAAAAAAACGCACCAAGCTGTCTACCGCAAGGTGTGGAAGTGATAGCCACGGAAAAAAAACAATATTCGGCCGAAATGTATAATTAGTTTTATAACAAGTTCTGATTTTAATAAAACTTTACATATATATAGATAACGTAAAGAGATGAATTTAGAAAATATCAATTGCGACGGAAAAATGGTTTAAAATAACTTTCTTTATATTAAAGATTAATGATTTGATAAGATAATGATTCTTTATATTAAAGTTTAATGATTTGATAAGATAATAATTTTTTAACTTTTTTATTATATTTCAAAAACTATTTGAGATATTAAAAAATCTTTTATACAAAAATTTTACGACAAAATCATATGTATTCATTTACGTCAATAACATTTTTGAAAAATAATTATTTAAAAAAAAATTTTTTTTAATTTTTGTAAATAAATTTTTTTTTAATGATTGCCGTGAGTGAAAAGAGGTGATTTTACTGTAAAACCTTTGTATAAAACATTTTTTGATATCTTGAATAGTTTTCAAAATATAACAAAAAAATTAATTAATTAATTAACATATAAGGGGTGGTTTCGTTTCTTTCAACCGTTTTTGGGCCGCAACTGCTAATTTCTAAATTCGTCTATTTAGGTAACCTATACATGTGTAAAAAGTTTCGTTAAAATCAGAATTTAACACTTCGCGAGGTTCCCTTGTAAGTCAAATCAAAGTGCAGACATCCAAAAATCCATTTTAGTACCGAGAGGTTTCAGAATCTAAGATTTGAATCGGAGGTAAACAAGTATAGTGATTACGTCCTTGAATCGAAGGATAAACGTTGTTTTAAGAAATATCATTTGATAAAGCAATATTTAGACACTAATCCTAAATAAATTAAAATAAAGGTTTGATAATAAAATATTTATTGATAATTAATTGTTTAGTTAGACAATAAAATTTATTTAAATTCCGATATTTACCCATTTAAATTAATATTACCTTTTTTTACATACAATTCTTTTGTCAATCATGTTATTTCAATGATGTTGTTTTTTTAAATTTGTTAATTAAAACTAGTATATGCTTTTTTCAAGTAAACAAAAATACTATTAACACTAGTATCATGTGGCATTATTTTCTTTGCGTATATATTTCATACAAACACATTTTTAATTGATATAATTGATATAATTTAATTGATATAACATGTGATTCCATTACTCTGCATTATTTTTACTTTTTCCTTTTAATTTATCTAAATTCCAATGAAAAAAACCATAAAAAATATTATGAAAAGTACCTTTTTATAGTTTTTTCTTTACAAATATTAAAGAATATTATAAAAGAAGCAATATTACTTTAGGTAGGTAACATTAGAATGTAGATAAATTAAAGTTAGATAAATTAAGAAAAAAAGTAAAAATAATAATAATCAAAGAATAATCAAATTACATAATTATTTATACAGTCGAACCTCGATAACTCGAACCTTTACAACTCGAAAACCTCTATAAGATGAAAATTTTGTTCATCCCCTTCCGCTTCGCTGCGGAAAACTTCCATAAATCGAAATAAAACCTACTTTAATTCGAATTGTTTGTCAGG